TTACCACTATTTCTAAACAATGACTTTGGTTTCTTCTTATCATGATAGTTATTTTCTTGGTTTATTTCATCGAATTCTTTTGAGTTCAGAGTTGATTGAACTTTTACCAAAGACAAAAATTATCTTCCATACAAGATAGTTTCTTTAAAATGAGAGAAAGACTTAGGTAAAGAACGCATTAGCAACATGGCTTGATATTCATCATAAATGTCACCTTTATTTTTTCTAAATTAAGAATCGATTTATTAAAGATATTTAATTCAGATTCAGCAGTTATATATTCTTGCATCTTAAATGAATATAAGGATTGTTTAAGATAAAGATGATATACCAGATATTTGATCATGTAAAAACATTCGTGTTTTGACAAAATTCTAGTTGTTGTATTTTTTAAACAGGGGAATTTCAAGAGGAGGTATACATGCAGAAGCCACCAGGGTTTCTTGACAATGATGCAACCTTGATATGCAAGCTAAAGAAGCCAATTTATTGATTGAAGCATGATCCACATGCTTGGTATGAGAAATTTCATCAAGCCTTATTGCACTTTATTTTTGTATCAAGTCAATGTGATCACTCTCTCTTCATTTATCATCATCAAAATGTCACCATGTATGTGTTGGTCTATGTGGAAGATATTTTGCTCACAGGCTCATACCCTTCACTACCCCATAAACTTATAGACAAGTTGTATACAACTTTTGCACTCAAGAAGCTGGGCACACCAAAATACTTTCTAGGCATTGAGGTTCTTCACCAACCATCGGGAGCTATTGTTCTTACTCAAACCAAATACATATGAGACCGGCTGAGCAAGATAAACATGTCAGAAGTTAAGGGTGTCAACACACTTATGTTCAGTACTTGTAAACTGAGCAAACATGGTGATGAAAAAATGGATGATCCATTACTATATCGATCCATAATTGGTGCACTTCAATATGTCACCTTAATAAGACCAGGCATTGCTTTCTCAGTAAACAAAGCATGTTAAGACATGTCTAATCCTCTTGACTCACACTGGAGTATAGTTAAACGCATCTATAAAACTTGAGTGATACATGTCATAATCCTATACTACATGGCACGTACGAAACATATTGAGCTTGATATGTACTTTGTTCATGGACATTCTATGGCAGGAAAGTTAGTGATTCAGCATGTTCCAGCTCGAGCTCAGCTAGCTGACATCTTCACCAAGCCTCTCACATCCCTACTCTTTGATAACTTTAGAGACAAACTCAAGATTGTTTGTGTCAAACCCTTATGAGTTTGAAGGGGAGTATTAGAATGTAATATAGGTAATGAGTGAATGTGTATGGTAAGGTGGTTAGGGAACATAGTAAGGTAGTTAGATTTCTCATGAAGGTAGTTAGAGAATAACTAACTTTATCTCTTGTATAAATACACTAAGTCATTGATTATGTGAGTAAGGAGAAATATCACAAATAATCAAGAAAAGTTTGATCTTCTCTATGCATGATCTTTCTTTCCCTTCCATGCATAACCATGTTAATCAATTGAGCTCAAATTCTCTCATCTAACAATTAAACCTTCACCACTCACAGAAGTCATTTGCTCATTTCTTTCATCGAATTCCTTTAAGTTCAAAGTTTGATTGAACTTTTACCAAGGACAAAAATTATCTTTCATACAAAATAGTTTCTTTGAAATGAGAGAAAGACTTAGTTAAAGAACACAGTAGCAACATGGCCTGATATTCACCATAAATGTCACCTTTATACTTTCTAAGTCAAGAATCAGTTTATTAAAGATGTCCAACTCAGATTCATCAGTTATATATTCTTGCATCTTAAACGAATATAAGGATTATTTAAGATAAAGATGATCTATCAAAGATTTTATCATGTAAAAACCTTAATGTATTGACCAAATTCTAATTGTTGTGTTTTATTTTGAAACATGTCTTAGTACCTTGTCTCTACGACTCGAGATGATTGCACTCATGATATTTTTTCCTCTTCCTCCAGCTTCGTATCAAAAGTAGTTTCACTACAAAGCTTCTTCAACACCTTTCTAAACAAGCAATGCTCACATCTTCGATAACTATATGCCAAAATCATTTTGGCCTGCAAACATTTCAACCTAATGAAGGATTTAATTGAATCAGATAGATACAAATTATAACATATTATTTAATCAGTGAATAATCAAGAATAATAAGAATGATATACCTTGTAAAATTGATGAGATTATCGTCAGAGATAGTGAATATGAGAGGATTACTACTCTTATTATCGTTTATGTTTTTCACTGTATTTTAGTCATTTAATGGGGTAACGCTTAAATAGTTAAACGAATGAGGGCAGAGACCTCTCATTAGGCTTAACTGAATGGTTCAATTCATCATGATCTACTCAGACATAAAACACAATCAAGTAATTCATCAATAATTAGTTCTTTATTTATAATTGACCATAATATAATTAATTAATAATTGATTATATCAATTCATGTTGATTAATTAAATAACTAATCTAACAATCTCTCACTTAGATGACAATAATCAATTATTAAAAATTTTAATATTAGATTACTAATTATGGTCAAAACACTAATAAATCAAAAGAAAAGTAAGCTTTAACATTGCAGAAATTATATCCGATAGAAAAAACAATATCATACATGTTAAAGACTCACGGTTTATATAAAGAATGATGAGTTTAGAGTAACATATTTAAGTTAAGAGGAATACTCCCTCTGTCTCATATTATAAGCAAATTTCTCTTTTTAAATTCATTGAATAATTAGTATAATTATTATATATATAGACTAAATATATTAATTATTCAATAAATATAAAAAATGAAATTTACTTATAATATCAGATATATTATTAAAGAATTGCTCAAATATATGAAAATGATATATATATATATATATATATATCAAATACTTTAAGATCAAGACAAATAAAACTTTAACAATAAATACTTAGAGAACAAAAGAGAGAAGAAGAGAAATTTGAATGAAACAACCACTTTCTTGTTATTGATGAATATTGATTCTACGTAACAATGTGTGATTGACATTAAAGAACATATACAGAGTATATGATATTTATAGCTAACTAGAAATAGTAATTAGTTAAGTGGTAATTAAATAGAAATGAATTTCATCATAATTGATTGGACAAATCCTTACATTATGTGATATATTGAGAAATAAATTAATAGTACTTGAACAATATCGATCATAAGTGTAATAAATTTAAAAAATTAATGCAACAAGTGTTTCTATATCTCTCATTATTGGAGATTTTGTATCTTATTAGGAAGCAAAGATAGATAAATACGGGTTATAAGATATATAAGCAGTTAATATGGGGAGGTTTACTGTCCTTTCTCACTTATCTACATGATGGAAAAGTATCAATGATTTAAGGTCAATGTCAAGTCCAGAATCAAATTGGATTTTGAGGATTCTCATAAAAAATGTTGGCAACCGGGTTCATATTTATTTTTGGAGTGATGTTTGAGTAGGTACTTCCCTTTTTAAAGAAATATTTTTGCATCTATTTGCAATGACACTGCAAGTTTATTCTGCAATTTTTAATAATATGAATAACTTGTTTAAGGATTTTTGAATTCAAGTGTTTCATTAAGTTTCAAGAAGTTATATCAAAAATGAGTTGGTTGGTTCTCTAATATATGTTTTAGACGAAGTATAATCTTCTATTAGTGTTTCAAAATACTAGGTTTACTATTTTTACAAAGAGAAACTTCCTACTATGTAACTTTTTTCATATCACATCAAAAAAAAAAATTGGAGTTGCACATGGTTGTTTTTTTAGATATTTTTTGTAGACATGTTAAATGTATTCTTAAAGAAAAAGATTTACAGTCTTCCATCATCAATATATATTTTAGGTCGCTGAAATATTTACGCAAAAAAATGAGAAAGTTATATAATTCATGAGTGAGATTTTTTCGAAAAGGATGCAATAACTTTTTTAGCACTTTTGGTTCATTTTATAGAAGTATTTGAAAGAAAATCAGAGGAACAAAAGCATCATGAAGTTACAATTCTATGTTTCAAATGTTAATTGAACAACTTGATTTATTGGAACTTGAAGATTCAAATGAAGAATTTAAGGTTATTCTAAATGGTATGTTATTTTGCATCCATTAGTGAAGATAGCTACTAAGATTGTCCCTTTCAGGATTTAAAGATAGAGAATTTTATTAATAATATTTTGATTAAAAATAATAGATCTATTTTATATTTTTATATATTTACGAATCTATGTGAGAATCGTGAAGATCAAGCAAGACGGACATGGAACAAAATCCTTCCATGATGGAAATCAAAGATGAGAATGAAAAATAGATTTAGCAACAAAATTCTTTTGTGATGGAAATCGAAGACGATAATAAAAAATAGATTTAGCAACAGGAAAGAAGACGCATTTATCTTCCGCTCTATGAACATCCGTATGTCCGATCTCAGTGTGGCAACTAAAGGACAATACAAATTTTGCGAATGAAAAGTAGTTTGGAATCTCTCAATAGAGAGATCCATATACTTTTGTTAATGTAGGAGAAAAGGTCACAATAATATAAACACAGCATATTTAACAACTTCCTTAATGCAAACATTGGTTGCATCATTGTGCAAACAATCATGTTAATATGTTCCGCATGAAGTGGAGTTTGTTTCCATTGAATCGTCAGGATCAGAAAAGAATAAAATGATTCATAGAGTGAAAAGACACATGAAATCCAAACTAGATTTTCATACAACACAATATGGTTTCAAAATGAAGAGTTCACAGTGAAAGTACAAGTACAAAATCTAACAACACTTTCACAGAGAAGACATTATAACCTGTATGTCTCCACCAATTTATGCTTGTCGAATCAAACAACACATCTCAGTAAATTTTTATGTCAAACTGATATTTTCAGTCACTTATATAACATCTTAAAACAAAGGTTCACAGAGAAGGCATTATAACCTGTAGCCAATATGAGAACTCTTCACAGCTCATTATCTTGAAGTGGAGAGTCGGTGTTATGTTGGTGCTTCTCCTCCTCACCTTTATTGGATGATTTATAATCCTAGGAGCAGAAAATGGAACACTATCAATTGGCATTGCAAAATCAATCATGTGAAAAAAGTTTATAACATGTATACATAAACAAACAATAACTGAATAGGAATGATCCAAAACTGATTTAAATATGGATGCCTCTGTCTTCTTTCTTGAATGATTTCTACTTGAGTAACTTGCAGACAAGGGTTCCTAATTATCTAACCTTTTCGCCGAGACAGAGATGAAGATATGGAGATGCAGACTTGGCAGGCTCGGCGGCAGAAGCAGGAGCAGCATCAGAAGCAGACTTGGCAGGCTCGGCAGAAGCAGGAGCAGCATCAGAAGCAGACTTGGCAGGCTCGGTGGCAGAAGCAGGAGCAGCTTCAGAAGCAGACTTGTCAGCTGAAGCAGGTGCGACAGAGGAGGAGGAACGCAGAGAAAGTCTCGGAAGTTTGGAGGAGGAAGGCACAGAGAATCGCGAACGATAATCGTTAATCTTCGCACCCTTTATAGATTCTTCAATCTGCTAAGTAACAACCAATCACAAACTCTTCTTATGGTTGTTTCATTTAAAACTATCTAACCTTAAATTCTAAGAAAAATTACCACACTAGGCTCACTCATAGTTTTAAAATAACTACCTGCTTCAGATTAAAAGAACTCGGATATTTTGTTCTGATGTTCACTTCAGCCGACGGCGAATTTTGTCGCAAGAAGTCAACTATTCCATCAGGTATGGCAGGTGGTTCCAAACATGTTTCAAATGCCTCTCTTAACTTTTCAACTTCTTTAGGTGACTTGGCAGCAGCTTTCTTTAACATGGCGTCTTCCATTAATAGTAATAAAGATCCTTCCTCAATTTGTATCAGTTTTACTTTCAACGACTTCAATTTATGCAAAGAATGGAGCTTAACCTCGAATAAATCAGGATTTAAGGAGAGAATCTAAGAAATGAGGGTGAATTAAGATCAGTTTTAGGCAAGTCATTTGAATTTTAACAAAATTTAAGAAACACAAAAAACCATCCTAAGAAAGTAAAAATAAAGTCAGAAAACATGATAGGTACCTGAAGAATAGTTGAAGTGACGGTCAATGACTCTATATTGGCAAAGTTTAGCAGCCAGCTAAATAGAATCAAAGCATCCTCCATCGAAGCTGAAAATCGTCGTGATTTGATATTTACTTTTTTAACCGAAGAAAGTCCGCTTCCACATATTTCGTGAATATGGTGGTTCCCGGTATAATTAAAGGTACAAAGACTTGGAACATATAGCTTGATCTTGGCAAGGAGAGATGAATTATGATGCATAGCAAAATTGACAAGTGTGTGGCTTGATATGCTGAGGATTTGTGCATCCATTACCTTACAACAACGAAGGACCAAAGTATTCAACTTGGTAAAGGCCAAAAAGGGGTCAGCACAACCGCTTTCATCACCGCAAAAGGCAAAATTTGTTAGATCCAAGCTGGTTAGTAAAGGCAAATTCAAAGAATTTGGAAATAATGTTTCTGTAGGATCCCTCCCTCTAGGGTGAAGTGAAAGCTTAAGAGATGTAAGAGCCCGGCATGAAGAAACACAGCTCAAAATGAGAGCAGTATCACCATTGACAGAGATTCCTAAATGTTTGAGATGGGTGTTATGGTAAAAAACATAGTTTAAAAACTTTTTAAGGAGTCGAGGCTCAATATCACGATGACGGAAAAGATCAAATGTATGTGGTGCAGTTGAGGTATCACGGAGAGACAAAATCTTAGATAGGAATACGGAAAATATCTTCAAAGTCCTAAATTGAAAAGAATTCAACCTAATAGTTGGAATACGTTTCCAGAGATGTTTCCATCTGGTGGACAAAACACAAGTTTGAACCGCATGTTGTATGCTCAAAAATGATAAAATGTGAAGGATAATACATTCAGGTAAGTCGCTGAGTCTATCTTGATTCTGATCTCCAGAGACTCTTGTTCTACCAAACTTTGTTCGAATCCTGGTATGATAGAGATATGATGAGACAAGGGTAGAAAGTAATTTGAAAATGAAATAGAGTTAGAGAGTGTGAAAATAAAATACCATGCCATAGTCGTTCGTTCACGAGTTGAGAATTATCCACGCTGCAGCACAGAGTGACAATTAAAGGCACGAAGTAGGTAGACAATTCATAATCAATCATGAAAACAACAACAATTGAGATTCAACGTGAATATTCATATCAGAATTGTCCAACCAAAAAACAGTCTCATCGTCGTTAAGCTCGTCAAAAGATAAACAAAAAAATTGAGCTAAAATAAAAATTATATCACAATCAACACAACAAAAAAAACCTCAATTAATTGCAGCATATAACCAAGTAAAAGAGGTAAAAAAAAGGAAATTAAAGCTCAATGAGTTGCAACAGTATCAGTATCAGAAGTGTACGTACATAAAAGAAGCAAGGAAGAATGTTGGTGAGAATAAGCAAAACACGAATGTGTCACAGTGTCAGAGAGAGAACGGAGAAGCAGCAGTTTGAGTTCGGCTTTTGTGTTTGTTTGTGTTTTACGGAGCGGAGCGAACCTTTTATATTCATTGAATTCAAACACAAACAATTCCTGAAATGTCCTTGCGGGCTCTGTCAAGAAACTAGTTGTTTATTCCTACCAACGGCGTCGTTTACGATGGGTTTTACGGTAATTTCAGTATTATCTGATGTCAGCATTTTTCTTTGCTAGCCTTTCACTTTTTGAAAATTTTCTCCCGATTCTAGTTTTTTTTTTGACAAAACTTTCTTCAGTTATTGACCATTTATCTTTTTTAAGAGACTGAATTAAATGAGACAAATGCTTTTTTTTATAATAAAAAACACATAAATATATATATTTTTTATAAAAGCCACTTAATTGAAAAAAGAAAAAATTACAAGATTCAAAAGAGGGAGACCAAATCCAAAACCCCTCGAACAACATCCATTTAAATTTTGGGAAAACCAAACTTTTGTTCAAAAAATCCTCCCAAACTTCTTTAATAAATGTGATTATATCAAGTATGATACCCAATTAAAAGATGCCTACTAGCTAAAATATCAGCACAAGTGTTCCCATCCCTCTATGTAAACATGAGCAAACATGAGCCCACGTTTTCTAAAAATGTACAGACAATTTAACCCACAACTCCTGATAGACCAAGGAACAAGATTTGCATTGTAGAACGCCCGAACCACGATTAAGGAGTCGGACTCAATCCAAAGATTGTATTGTTACAATTCTTGTCAAAAGCAACTTCCATCACCATAATTGCTCCCATGAACTCTGCTATAAGAGCATTTCCGTTACTAATGAAGAAAGAGAAGGATCCGATATGATCACCATTAGAGTTATGAAAAATCGCACCGCAAGCACATTGGGCCGGAATCCCTATAGCTACACCATCAGAATTCCCTTTTATCCAATCATTCGCAGGGGTTTCCAAAGCACATCAATGCAACTCTTTGCCTAATATTGATATTGAGATTTTTAAGAGTAACAAAGTCAGAGATCTTCACAAGGCTACTGACAGATGCGTTGTTGCCCACCAAAGTTAAAAGGGAAGAAATGTTTTTGGTAGAAGAAGACCAAGGAACAGTTCGGTCATCCAACCTGGAGCTGTTCCTGACAAGCCAAACTTCTGCAAAAACAAATTAGATTCCAGCCATAGCAACCAACTTGCATTGTGCAGACCAACCAGAATTAATGAACTTCCCCAACAATCTTCAATACCTAAAATGTTGTCATTGTAATTGAATCTACTACAGAGCCAGTTCCAATGATTCGCGACGTAATGGCAAGAGAAAAAGAGATGGAGCAGGAATTCCTCATGATTGAGGCACAAAGTACATTGAGAAGGAAAGTTAAAACCGTTCTTATGGAGGATATCATCAGTGGGTAAAGCATTGTTCAAGAATTTCCATAAAACCATCGATTTTGCCGGCAGAATTGAACCATGCCAAACCATGTTGCTCCAAATAACATGGTTGCTCTTGCCATGGCAGAAATCATACGCCAGCTTCAGAGTCAGCATTCCCGTATCTGAATTGTTCCAAACACGGAATAGTGCAGCTGTTAACCTGAGACAGCAGGTCCGGAAAAGCAAGAAGCATATTATGAGGAAAATTTCATTTGTGGTTAGAAATGTAATCAGCCACTTCAGATTTGAGAAACTTGTGGAAAATAGAAGGAATATTATAAGTGTTTGCAAGGGGAGGCCCACACCACGGATCCAGCCAGAAATTAACCATCATCCAAACAGAGTTGTCAATAACAGTATTATATTGATCCTTGATGCCACTCCAAATAGAAGACATAATGTTGCTTTTTATAGGAATTCCATTTCTGAGAAACATCTTCACCAACAATGTCCCAATACGTCTGAAAGAAAGAGGCACCAAAACCGTCGGGACCCGGAGCTCCATCCTTATTGATCTACATGACAGCTTCTTTGATCTCTAAGACAGTTGGAGTGAGAGTGAGAATCCTGTTGGTTTCCTCATCAATCAATGAAGGGATATGGTTTCCTCTACCAAGCCATTGTCCTGCAAGAGATCATTCTTGTTAAAAATGTTTTGATAATGCTTAAGAATATGGTTTTCTATAATGTTCATATCAGTAGTAACAATATCATTAATGGATGTAGCATGAATTAAATTGGTGGCCCTTTTTATTTTAGCATAACGGTGAAAGAACTTTGTGTTCCTGTCGCCATTAGTGCACCAGTTGACTCTGGTTTTCTCCTTCCAAAAAGCCTCTTCTATATCAAGGGCTTCATTGAGAGCTTCCTGCGGCTCCTTCTCTTGATGTTGCAGAACTTCAGAGTACCCCTGACTAGCGAGGGTGTCCTGAATTTTGATGAGGTTGTCTTAAGCAATTTTAACTTTTTCCTGCACATTACCCCAAAACAGTTTTTGTTCCACTCATTTAGTTTAGCTTTAAGAATCCTCAGCTTTTTGTCTAAAACATACATGGGACAGCCATAGACTTTGGAATGCCAAGTTTGAGAAACGAGATTCAAGCAATCTTTGTGGAGGGTCCACATATTCATGAATTTAAAATTAGATGTGACTTTAGGATCATTATACTCGAAGTTTAGAAGCAGGGGATAGTGATCAAACTTGTTTTTGACAAGAGTATGGCAGGATGTTGAGGAGCAAGTATTGATCCAATGGAAATTGCAGACAGCTCTATCGAGCCTTTTCTCAGAATACTTACGGCCCAACCTACCATTGCTCCAAGTAAAAGGATTCCCCATAGTAGGCAAGTGAATTAAATGATCGGTATCACACCAACTATGGAAATCCTTCATAGGAATACTAGCAGGGGTGTTTGAACCATGATACTTCTCGGCCTCAATAATGGAATTAAAGTCCCCAATAATGGACCAAGGGGTATCCTTAAAAATAGGAGCAAGATTGTGCCACAGATGCCTTCTGGTAATGTAGCTTGTGGAAGCATACACGGCCGAAAGACCAAAAACTTTATTGTTATCAACAATAGTGAAGGAGACATGTTGACTATCTCTCAACAAAACAGTAAGGGTGATATTAGACTTACAAAAACACCATAAGTTAGGCAAAAGATCATGCCTATCATTCATGGCAAATAGCTTAAGGTTGAGCTTCTTAAGCCAAGTTTGAGGGAATTTAGAAAAGTCCATCCAAGGTTCTGCTACCAAAACCAAGTCTGGATTGTTAACAGATATTAATCTTTTGAGAAAGGATTAGATGTACTTGGTTCAGCCCTAGTTAATTGCTTCTTCTTGGATTTTTTTGAATTCCTTTTTGAACTAACAAGTTTGAAGCCATCTGTTTCCAAATTCACCTCCTGAGCAGCCATATTCGCCCATGATTCAGATAAAAAAATTTGTATGTTGCTGTCATTTCCTTGCAGATTGGGTTGTGTCTCTTCCACTCTTAAAACCTCAAGGGTGGCATCAACAAACTCAGCTTCTGAATCTGACTCAGAAATCTCTTTATCAGCTTCCTGATTGACAGTAACTATGTGGTTGTTTTCGTTTGCTTCCAAAATCTCCTCCTCCTGATTTCGACCATCACTTGTATTAGCAAACTCTTCCTGATCTTTTGGCTCATTGACTTGTGTATTGTCATCAATATCCACAACTTCAACCTCCTTTTTATTTTCAGTTTTTGGTTGACCCTCTGTTGTTTTGCTTTTGCCATTGTTCATATCCTTCAAAGATTTCCTTTTACAATTGTCATACCCATGACCAATACAATTGCAGAAAGTACAGAAGTCAGGTATTTTTTCATATTCCACCTCTACAAAGAAGGCAAATCCAACTCTTTCCACCAACACTTTATAGATTAGTTCTTTTGTAAGATCCAGTTCCACAAGAACACGAACAAAATGACTGAAAGCTCTGTCAAATGACGGTTTGCTAGAAAAAAATATTTTAAAATTATTTATAATTTACGCATAAAGTTACAGTAACATTAACATTATAATATATCTTTGATAGTAGTATATAGGAAAAAAAATTATCAATAATAAACTATTTTTTGTTTATAAAAACATCTTTATTACTTAAAAATTTAATTTATTTTATTAATATTTTTGTAATTTGTCAAAAAATCATGTAGTCTTTAAATATAAAATATTAATTAAGAAATTCTATAAGATGAAACAAATATTCAAAAGTCGGAAAAATATTTAAGACTTTTGAAAATTTCCTAAACTAATCACCTTTGCAAATAATAATAAAATGTGTTCAAATTGTCTGATTATGTAAAAATAATTGTATTAATTTTAGATTCAATTAAACAATTTTAAAATAATAGTAAAATTGGTATTAATGTCAAATATATAAATTTAATGTGACTAGTAGTAAACTAAAATTGATATCAAATTAATTGTTCTAATGTGCAATACAATTATATAAATTTAATGTAGTAAATTTAAAATTGATATCAAATTTAATGTGATTAGTAATACATATATTTAAGTACTAAAAAAATATGAAAGAAAAATATATATTTATAATTATAAAGAACATTTTAAATAAATTTTGCAATAGTACTTAAAAACATGTATATATAAAAATTTCAAATGACATATCATTTTAATGTCATATTGTTTGGTAGAATATAATTGTAATTAAATTATAATATCAATTTTTAACTAATTAAGAAATATAATATTTATAACATTTTTAATTAAAATGTTTATACCAGTTAAATGTAATCAAATAAAGTAATCTAACCAAAAAATCAATTTTTATGAATTTCAAAAAATATTAAAAGAACATTAGTAAAAATATTTGATTTCAAATATGATATGATTATATACACAAATCAGATAGAAATTTGAAATTATTTTTAAAAAAAATCTCAATCTTTTGATATCCATACAAAAACAATAAAAAGGTCCTTCCATTTGTTGGTGCAAGATAATGAAAGAGAGAGAAGAAGAATGAGCAATAAATGATAACAAAGAGGACTATTATTGTATATCAAATAGAGGAATGAATGAGTTACAATATTGATAACCTAGGTAGCATATTTATACTAAAATTGAAAATGCCAAAAGACCCTAATAAAGAATAAGCATTGGGATTTGTAGACATTAACTAAATTACATTTCCAATACCATCCTTTAATTTAGATATTCTATCAGAAACTAACAACACCAATTTCATCTCTCAAAAGAAGAAACTGATCTGTTTTAACTGCCTTTGTTAGAAGATCTGCAAGCTGTTTCTGAGTGCTACAGTGCAGAACTTCTAACACTCCTTTCTGCACTTGACTTCTGAGAAAGTGATACTTCGTCTCAATGTGCTTGCTTCTTCCATGTAGCACTAGATTCTTGGCAAGATCAATTGCAGGCTTATTATCAATCATCAGCTTCAGAGGTTCCTCAACTTCAACCTTCGGATCATGCAGGAGATTCAGAAGCCAAACTGCTTGACAAACAGCTACAGCACATGCGATATACTCAGCTTCACATGTTGACAGAGCCACGACAGACTGTTTCTTAGAACTCCAGGAAATGGGACCTCCCAGAAATTTAAACAAGTATCCAGAAGTACTTCTCTTGTCCACTCTGTCTTCGCACCAGTCAGAATCAGAATAACTTACTAATTCTGATTCTGTCTTTCTTTCAGAAGGAAACAACACTCCATATCTCAGAATTCCCTTGATATATCTCAGAATTCTGACAGTAGCTTGGAAATGAGATCACTTTGGATTACTCATGAATCTACTAACTAATCCAACTGCATAACAAATGTCAGGTCTAATATTACATAAATATCTTAGAGAACCAACCAATTGTTTGAAGGTTGTAGAATCAACAGAATCACCATCAGAGTCAGAATCCAATTTTTGATTGGTTTCTGATGGTGTCACAGCAACTTTGCAATTCTGCAGCTTAAATCTCTTCAGAAGTTCTTGTTCATATTTTAACTGATGCAGAATGATACCCTTCTTCGAGTACAAAATCTCCATCCTTAGGAAATATGTCATTTTTCCTAGATCTGTCATCTCGAACTCATTCATCAGAACTTCTTTGAACTTCTTTATATCTTCTGGGCAGCTACTTATTAGCAAAATGTCATCAACATAGAGACACACCAGAATCATATTATTATCAGAGTGTTGTACATAAACTCCATATTCTATCTCACATTTCTGAAACCTCTGCTTCTTGAAAAACGAATCAATTTTCAGATTCCAAGCTCTAGGCGCTTGCTTCAGTCCATACAGAGCTTTATTTAACCTGTATACCATCCCTTCCTGATTCTTTTTCACAAATCCAGGAGGTTGTGACACATAAACTTCTTCCTGTAATGGACCGTTCAGAAATGCAGACTTCACATCCAAATGTATTAAAGGTCAATTTCTGTTTGCAGCTAAAGCAATTACCAGTCTGATTGTTTCATGCCTAGCTACAGGTGCAAACACCTCAAAGTAATCTAGCCCAGGTTTCTGAAGAAAACCTCTAGCTACTAGTCTAGATTTGTGCTTGCCAATTGAACCATCTGACTTAAGTTTCAACTTAAAAATCATCTGACGCTTATGGCTTTTTCTTATCTGGAAGTTTAGCTAATTTCCAAGTTTTGTTTCTTTCTATTGCCTCAAGTTCTTCTTTCATGGCATTAAGCCATTCTTTCTTCTTGAGAGCTTCTTCAATGCCTACTGGTTCAGAATCTACTAACATGGCACACTGAACGACTTCTCCTTCAGAGTCAACTTCATTATCCTGCAACATGTCAAAATCTGCAAACCTTCTTGGTTTTTGTCTGATTCTTTGTGGTCTTTGAGTTTGTTCTGAAGTTGCACCATAACTACTACTTTCAGAATTACCACCTTCAGAATTTTCCCTTCCAGAACTATTATCACCACCAGATTCTGGATCATCATCAGCATCTGGATCAGAATCAGATCCATTTCCAGAATCTTCTTCTGACTCATCTTCAGAATCTTCAGGATCAGATTCATCTTCTGAACTTTCTAAAACATCTTCAGAGGCTAACTCTGGTGTTGGTACTACACCAGAAGCTGATTGAGATTTATTCCAATCCCATGCTTCAGACTCTTTCACCACAACGTCTCTGCTAACTTCAACTTTATTAGTTTCTGGACAATAAAGCTTATACACACTTGTACTGTGGTACCCCACCAGCAACATTACTTTGCTTCTATCATCCAGTTTTTATCTTCTAGCTTCTGGAACGTGTTTGTAACAGACAAAGCCAAATACCTTCAGATGACTGACACTCTACTTATCTCCAGTCCATTTCTCTAAAGGAACAGCTTCCTTCCGTTTTTTCGTTGGACACTTGTTCAGAATATATGTTGATGTGGCAACAACTTCTCCCCATAGCATGTGAGGTAGCTTTTTCTCTTTCAGCATGCTTCTGGTCATATCAAGCAAAGTTCTGTTTCTTCTTTCAGCAAGACCGTTGTGATGAGGAGTATATGGAGCAGTAACCTCATGTTTTATTCCACTCTCCTCACAAAACTTCTGAAACACTGTAGAGTTATACTCACCTCCACCATCTGTTCTTAGAATTTTTAACTTCTGACCACTCTGCTTCTCAGCCTTCACTTTGAATTTCTAGAACTCAGTAAACACTTCATGTTTGAACTTGATTAGTGTTACCCATGTCATTCTTGTGAACTCATCTACAAAAGACACAAAATAATTGTTTCCTCCAAGTGAAGGTACTAGAAATGGTCCACACACATCAGAATGTACTACTCCCAGAGCATGCTTCGCTCTGGGGGCTACTTCTGATGTAAATAGAAATCTAGGTTGCTTGCCTTTCATGCATATCTCACATGACTTCTCAGGCTTCACAATCTTTGAAATACCATATACAAGCTTCTTAGAACATAGATGCCCTAAGCTTCTATAGTTCAAATGCCCCAACCTCTTATGCCACAGCTTACTATTACCTTTAGTGACTTCTGCACTAAGACACGTTGCTTCAGTTGTTTCTACATTTACCTTGAATATTCTGTTGCCTCCTTGTTCAGACTTCATAATCAACTTCTGATTGGAATCATACAATGTTAGAAGATTGTTTTTCATAACAACTGAGAAACCTTTCTCAATCAGTTGTCATACACTCATCAGATTGCTTCTAATACCAGGAACATACCAAACGTCTTTGATCATAATGTCGTTCCCATTCTTCACTCTAACTCTGACATCTCCCATACCTTATGCATTAAGATACTTATCGTCAGAACACCTGATCTTTGTTCTCCTTCTGGAGTCAAAGTCTTGGCAGGCTCGGTGGCAGAAGCAGGAGCAGCTTCAGAAGCAGACTTGTCAGCTGAAGCAGGTGCGACAGAGGAGGAGGAACGCAGAGAAAGTCTCGGAAGTTTGGAGGTGGAAGGCACAGAGAATCGCGAACGATAATCGTTAATCTTCACACCCTTTATAGATTCTTCAATCTGCTAAGTAACAACCAATCACAAACTCTTCTTATGGTTGTTTCATTTAAAACTATCTAACCTTAAATTCTAAGAAAAATTACCACACTAGGCTCACTCATAGTTTTAAAATAACTACCTGCTTCAGATTAAAAGAACTCGGATATTTTGTTCTGATGTTCACTTCAGCCGACGGCGAATTTTGTCGCAAGAAGTCAACTATTCCATCAGGTATGGCAGGTGGTTCCAAACATGTTTCAAATGCCTCTCTTAACTTTTCAACTTCTTTAGGTGACTTGGCAGCAGCTTTCTTTAACATGGCGTCTTCCATTAATAGTAATAAAGATCCTTCCTCAATTTGTATCAGTTTTACTTTCAACGACTTCAATTTATGCAAAGAATGGAGCTTAACCTCGAATAAATCAGGATTTAAGGAGAGAATCTAAGAAATGAGGGTGAATTAAGATCAGTTTTAGGCAAGTCATTTGAATTTTAACAAAATTTAAGAAACACAAAAAACCATCCTAAGAAAGTAAAAATAAAGTCAGAAAACATGATAGGTACCTGAAGAATAGTTGAAGTGACGGTCAATGACTCTATATTGGCAAAGTTTAGCAGCCAGCTAAATAGAATCAAAGCATCCTCCATCGAAGCTGAAAATCGTCGTGATTTGATATTTACTTTTTTAACCGAAGAAAGTCCGCTCCCACATATTTCGTGAATATGGTGGTTCCCGGTATAATTAAAGGTAGAAAGAGTTGGAACATATAGCTTGATCTTGGCAAGGAGAGATGAATTATGATGCATAGCAAAATTGACAAGTGTGTGGCTTGATATGCTGAGGATTTGTGCATCCATTACCTTACAACAACGAAGGACCAAAGTATTCAACTTGGTAAAGGCCAAAAAGGGGTCAGCACAACCGCTTTCATCACCGCAAAAGGCAAAATTTGTTAGATCCAAGCTGGTTAGTAAAGGCAAATTCAAAGAATTTGGAAATAATGTTTCTGTAGGATCCCTCCCTCTAGGGTGAAGTGAAAGCTTAAGAGATGTAAGAGCCCGGCATGAAGAAACACAGCTCAAAATGAGAGCAGTATCACCATTGACAGAGATTCCTAAATGTTTGAGATGGGTGTTATAGTAAAAAACATAGTTTAAAAACTTTTTAAGGAGTCGAGGCTCAATATCACGATGACGGAAAAGATCAAATGTATGTGGTGCAGTTGAGGTATCACGGAGAGACAAAATCTTAGATAGGAATACGGAAAATATCTTCAAAGTCCTAAATTGAAAAGAATTCAACCTAATAGTTGGAATACGTTTCCAGAGATGTTTCCATCTGGTGGACAAAACACAAGTTTGAACCGCATGTTGTATGCTCAAAAATGATAAAATGTGAAGGATAATACATTCAGGTAAGTCGCTGAGTCTATCTTGATTCTGATCTCCAGAGACTCTTGTTCTACCAAACTTTGTTCGAATCCTGGTATGATAGAGATATGATGAGACAAGGGTAGAAAGTAATTTGAAAATGAAATAGAGTTAGAGAGTGTGAAAATAAAATACCATGCCATAGTAGTTGGTCAACGAGTTGAGACTTGTCCGATGAAACTGAACGCTGCAGCACAGAGTGACAATTAAAGGCACGAAGTAGGTAGACAATTCATAATCAATCATGAAAACAACAACAATTGAGATTCAACGTGAATATTCATATCAGAATTGTCCAACCAAAAAACAGTCTCATCGTCGTTAAGCTCGTCAACAGATAAACAAAAAAATTGAGCTAAAATAAAAATTATATCACAATCAACACAACAAAAAAACCTCAATTAATTGCAGCATATAACCAAGCAAAAGAGGTAAAAAAAAAGGAAATTAAAGCTCAATGAATTGCAACAGTATCAGTATCAGAAGTGTACGTACATAAGAGAAGCAAGGAAGAATGTTGGTGAGAATAAGCAAAACACGAATGTGTCACAGTGTCAGAGAGAGAACGGAGAAGAAGCAGTTTGAGTTCGGCTTTTGCGTTTGTTTGTGTTTTACGGAGCGGAGCGAACCTTTTATATTCATTGAATTCAAACACAAACAATTCCTGAAATGTCCTTGCGGGCTCTGTCAAGAAACTAGTTGTTTGTTCCTACCAACGGCGTCGTTTACGATGGGTTTTACGGTAATTTCAGTATTATCTGATGTCAGCATTTTTCTTTGCTAGCCTTTCACTTTTTGAAAATTTTCTCCAGATTCTAGTTTTTTTTTGACAAAACTTTCTTCAGTTATTGACCATTTATCTTTTTTAAGAGACTGAATTAAATGAGACAAATGCTTTTTTTTATAATAAAAAACACATAAATATATATTTTTTTTATAAAAGCCACTTAATTGAAAGAAAAAAAAAATTACAAGATTCAAAAGAGGGAGACCAAATCCAAAACCCCTCAAACAACATCCATTTAAATTTTGGGAAAACCAAACTTTTGTTCAAAAAATCCTCCCAAACTTCTTTAATAAATGTGATTATATCAAGTATGATACCCAATTAAAAGATGCCTACTAGCTAAAATATCAGCACAAGTGTTCCCATCCCTCTATGTAAACATGAGCAAACATGAGCCCACGTTTTCTAAAAATGTACAGACAATTTAACCCACAACTCCTGATAGACCAAGGAACAAGATTTGCATTGTAGAATGCCCGAACCACGATTAAGGAGTCGGACTCAATCCAAAGATTGTATTGTTACAATTCTTGTCAAAAGCAACTTCCATCACCATAATTGCTCCCATGAACTCTGCTATAAGAGCATTTCCGTTACTAATGAAGAAAGAGAAGGATCCGATATGATCACCATTAGAGTTATGAAAAATCGCACCGCAAGCACATTGGGCCGGAATCCCTATAGCTACACCATTCAGAATTCCCTTTTATCCAATCATTCGCAGGGGTTTCCAAAGCACATCAATGCAACTCTTTGCCTAATATTGATATTGAGATTTTTAAGAGTAACAAAGTCAGAGATCTTCACAAGGCTACTGACAGATGCGTTGTTGCCCACCAAAGTTAAAAAGGAAGAAATGTTTTTGGTAGAAGAAGACCAAGGAACAGTTCGGTCATCGAACCTGGAGCTGTTCCTGACAAGCCAAACTTCTGCAAAAACAAATTAGATTCCAGCCATAGCAACCAACTTGCATTGTGCAGACCAACCAGAATTAATGAACTTCCCCAACAATCTTCAATACCTAAAATGTTGTCATTGTAATTGAATCTACTACAGAGCCAGTTCCAACGGCAAGAGAAAAAGAGATGGAGCAGGAATTCCTCATGATTGAGGCACAAAGTACATTGAGAAGGAAAGTTAAAACCGTTCTTATGGAGGATATCATCAGTGGGTAAAGCATTGTTCAAGAATTTCCATAAAACCATCGATTTTGCCGGCAGAATTGAACCATGCCAAACCATGTTGCTCCAAATAACATGGTTGCTCTTGCCATGGCAGAAATCATACGCCAGCTTCAGAGTCAGCATTCCCGTATCTGAATTGTTCCAAACACGGAATAGTGCAGCTGTTAACCTGAGACAGCAGGTCCGGAAAAGCAAGAAGCATATTATGAGGAAAATTTCATTTGTGGTTAGAAATGTAATCAGCCACTTTAGATTTGAGAAACTTGTGGAAAATAGAAGGAATATTATAAGTGTTTGCAAGGGGAGGCCCACACCACGGATCCAGCCAGAAATTAACCGCAATGTCGTTACCAATCATCCAAACAGAGTTGTCAATAACAGTATTATATTGATCCTTGATGCCACTCCAAATAGAAGACATAATGTTGCTTTTTATAGGAATTCCATTTCTGAGAACTCTAGCCCTAAGAAGAATAGCCCAGCAGCTGTCCTCATTAAGAAGATCCCAGCATCGTTTTAACTTAGAAGCCTTATTAAGATCCTTGAGAGACCTGAGGCCAAGACCACCCTCTTTAATAGATTACCAACAATTATGCCAAGACACCGTCAGAAATTTCCTCTAAAAATAGGCACTCCCAAATAGTCAAAGGGAGGTTGAGCCACTTTAAACCCCAGCAAGTTTGCCAAGAACCGGTGCCTAGCGGGAGTCATCGCTCCAGCATAAATAATGGATTTAGCAGGATTGCCAAGAACTGGTGCCTAGCGTGAGAATCCTGTTGGTTTCCTCATCAATCAATGAAGGGATGGTTTCCTCTACCAAGCCATTGTCCTGCAAGAGATCATTCTTGTTAAAAATGTTTTGATAATGCTTAAGAATATGGTTTTCTATAATGTTCATATCAGTAGTAACAATATCAATAATGGATGTAGCATGAATTAAATTGGTGGCCCTTTTTATTTTAGCATAACGGTGAAAGAACTTTGTGTTCCTGTCGCCATTAGTGCACCAGTTGACTCTGGCTTTCTCCTTCCAAAAAGCCTCTTTTATATCAAGGGCTTCATTGAGAGCTTCCTGCGGCTCCTTCTCTTGATGTTGCAGAACTTCAGAGTACCCCTGACTAGCGAGGGTGTCCTGTATTTTGATGAGGTTGTCTTAAGCAATTTTAACTTTTTCCAGCACATTACCCCAAAACAGTTTTTGTTCCACTCTTTTAGTTTAGCTTTAAGAATCCTCAGCTTTTTGTCTAAAACATACATGGGACAGCCATACACTTTGGAATGCCAAGTTTGAGAAACGAGATTCAAGCAATCTTTGTGGAGGGTCCACATATTCATGAATTTAAAATTAGATGTGACTTTAGGATCATTATACTCGAAGTTTAGAAGCAGGGGATAGTGATCAGACTTGTTTTTGACAAGAGTATGGCAGGATGTTGAGGAGCAAGTATCGATCCAATGGAAATTACAGACAGCTCTATCGAGCCTTTTCTCAGAATACTTACGGCCCAACCTACCATTGCTCCAAGTAAAAGGATTCCCCATAGTAGGCAAGTGAATTAAATGATCGGTATCAGACCAACTATGGAAATCCTTCATAGGAGTACTATCAGGGGTGTTTGAACCAGGATACTCCTCGGCCTCAATAATGGAATTAAAGTCCCCAATAAAGCACCAAGGGGTATCCTTAAAAATAGGAGCAATATTGTGCCACAGATGCCTTCTGGTAATGTAGCTTGTGGAAGCATACACGGCCGAAAGACCAAAAACTTTATTGTTATTAACAATAGTGAATGAGATATGTTGACTATCTCTCAACAAAACAGTAAGGGTGATATTAGACTTACAAAAACACCATAAGTTAGGAAAAAGATCATGCCTATCATTCATGGCAAATAGCTTAAGGTTGAGCTTCTTAAGCCAAGTTTGAGGGAATTTAGAAAAGTCCATCCAAGGTTCTGCTACCAAAACCAAGTCTAAATTATTAACAGAAATTAATCTTTTGAGAGCAAGTCTGGAAGAGGCATTTGCAATTCCTCTAATATTCCAGAATATGCACTTCATGAGAAAGGATTAGATGTACTAGGTTTATCCCTAGTTAATTTCTTCTTGTTGGATTTTTTCGAATTCCTTTTTGAACTAACAAGTTTGAAGCCATCTGTTTCCAAATTCACCTCCTAAGCAGCCATATTCGCCCATGATTCAGATAAAAAAATTTGTATGTTGCTGTCATTTCCTTGCAGATTGGGTTGTGTCTCTTCCACTCTTAAAACCTCAAGGGTGGCATCAACAAACTCAGCTTCTGAATCTGACTCAGAAATCTCTTTATCAGCTTCCTGATTGACAGTAACTATGTGGTTGTTTCGTTTGCTTCCAAAATCTCCTCCTGATTTCGACCATCACTTGTATTAGCAACCTCTTCCTGACCTTTTGGCTCATTGACTTGTGTATGGTCATCAATATCCACAACTTCAACCTCCTTTTTATTTTCAGTTTTTGGTTGACCCTCTGTTGTTTTGCTTTTGCCATTGTTCATATCCTTCAAAGATTTCCTTTTACAATTGTCATACCCATGACCAATACAATTGCAGAAGTACAGAAGTCAGGTATTTTTTCATATTCCACCTCTACAAAGAAGGCAAATCCAACTCTTTCCACCAACACTTTATAGATTAGTTCTTTTGTAAGATCCAGTTCCACAAGAACACAAACAAAATGACTGAAAGCTCTGTCAAATGACGGTTTGCTAGATGCAGAATCAATGCATATAGGAGAGCCAATGCTACTAGTAATGGCAAAGAGTATTTTTGGTCTCCAATATTCTTGTGATAATCCATGTATATGGATCCATATCTGAGCAGACGTTTGGTGAATGTTAGACGGAACGAAATCTTTGGTCCAGGTGAAAAGTTTTAGTGTGCCTGGGGACGACCCCGACCTGACCCAGCTAACATCTTCAATACTCGAGATTGTGTTTGCACGAAGCTACTCCAAGTTGATATTCCTCTTCAGAGATAACAATGTTAGAATAACACAGCAAATGTGAGTAAGTGGGGAAATAATTTCACATTGGATAGGATTGTGGAGACTTAAGCATATATAAGTGAGAGAAGCCACTCACCTATCACCTTAAAGTTTTAGGTGGATAAGTGGTATGTCTCTCACCAAAGATGCT